AGCATATTATTCCTCTTATTGCTTGCCATTTCAGTATACCATTGTTCAAAAGCCTAGGAAATATCTTCAAATGAATGACTTAAAGGTAAGAGCATTGCACATGTATTTTTCAGATTTCTTTGGAAAGAAATGGGTGCACTTTATAATGAGAATATACCCAAAAATTAGTTGTTTGAATTTATAGATGTGCGTTATACATTAGGATGTACAGTATGTTAAAATACCAGAGGTAGATATGCAGTTATTCCTACTGTCAGTGCAAACGATGTATCTGAATGCAAGTAGTCACAGTCCTTACATATAGAATACTGACATAATCAAATCTTTTGTATGAGCAAAACATTTTTGCAATTATTGTATGATGCAAAGGTTTCGGTAATCCTTGCTCGGACATAAAAATAATACAGTGTATCAAAAGATAAAGTAAATTATTAAGGACAGCATTATTCATTTTGTGCTTGAACAGACAACAGCTCAAGAGTAGCCCTGGATAAAAATGTATAGTATCACTTTAAGACCCCTCTGCATGAGGAGACAAAATTGCTGAGTGACAGTAAAGTCTCCTTTGCAGACCTGTTATCTGACAGAATTTTGCCCACACACAGCAATTTTGTTTTGAAGTTGCTTTAAGCTAATCAGAGGAGTCAAGCAGATGGCATGATGTGTATCAACAGGAGACCTTTATCAGTGTTGGAATAAAATAATAATTTGCTATGTCTTTACTTTTCAGAGCTTAATTTTTAAAATAATTGTAATTATAAACAAGAGGCTTAATAGTGCACAGAAAGTAACAATGATGAAAAATAAATGAAGAATTGTAGATTAAAGAAAAAAGAAATTTAATAATGCAGGAAAGAACACGCACATACATATATGTGGTTGTGAAACATGTTGCATATGTGTGTATGTGTAAAAAAAATTTGAAATACACTTAATTGGCAATAGACATATAAATTTCTAATATTCAGTTAAAATTCAGTTTAAATACAAATTATGTGCCTTCTCACCACCTGCATTTTTCCAGCAGTGAACGCAGTATGAAAACTCTTGTGCAGTTGCTCTGCAGAATTGAAATAAAACGCTCTGCGATTATAAATACTCCGGACACAATTTTACGTACTTTTCCCTACCTTTCCTGGTCCAACTTGTATGTTCCTTTTAATTCCCTGTATCATGTGTTGTATGAAGATAGGCTAAGTCTTTAAAATTGTTGGGTTCATATGCACCCATAATTCTGTGTGAGGCAAATATTATGTCTCCAAAAATGCTTTATCTAATAATAAAATTGCATTGAATTCAGCCACATCTGTCTGGAAGTCCCATCATTTCCATCCATACTGCTCTGTCTGTGTGTGTATAATAAATTCTGTGAATGTATTCATCATTGGGGTGATAGTTGCAATAACTTAGTGAAGGCTTTCGTCTATACAAAGATGGCATTTACGTACAGACATGGCCGAAAATAAGATATAATTTTATTTCTTGACAAGCAAGTTTTTGAGAAGCATAATCAAGTTCACATATTATCATGGGAGCAATGTACACCCAATCTTCATAACATTCTTTGAAATTTACATTGTAGACAAAGGATGAAGTAGAGATTGCTTAAATCCTGAGGAAAATATAAAAAATTTTAAAAGTTTCAAATGAAGATATCCATAAAATGTTTTTACATTTGATTTTCATACTTTTTGGAGGTTTGCTATAACAGTACAGTCAAAAGTCGTTAATTCGGACACCCATAATTTCGGAATGATCTATAATCTGGACCTCAAAGCTAAAAACTTTCTGCGCATGCGCTGCGTTGCCACATGCGCACAGGCGTTTTACGCGTGCACGTAAGACCTTGACTACTGCGCAAGTGCAGAATACGTTTTCGCCTGCGCGTTTAATGTATAACGGATGGTGTAAGCTAAAATTATCTAATTATCTATTTCAGTTAATGTTAATGATTACATTGTTCCTTAATCTTCGAATTGGATCCCGCTTATTATTTTTTGCAGACTGTAAGAGCAATTTTATAAAAGTAAACTTGAACTTTCGATTATGTCAAATAGAATATCCGATGCTGGAACTTCCAAAGGATCTACAAAACGAAAGTATGTTTCGATGTCCAACAAACAAAAAGTGGAATTGCTGCAAAAAATGGATAAAGACATGAAGAATGTGACAGAGATTTTAGTGAAAACGAAAAAAAATCGATTGACAAGTTAGTCGGTATTCTCCGCACAGCAATTAATGGGACTTGAACAGCGGAACTTTGTAACTGAACAAGAAATTATGTCTGTTTATAGAATTAAAGAGAAAGTATTATCACATTAAACGAAGCAACTTAAACAACTTACATTGAAAGAAATGTTATAAGTAAAGAAAATAAATATTAAGCTTTTTTTTTTGTAAATTTTGATACCCTTTAGATCATAATTGTTCTTTATTTCATAAATTATGGTTTCATATTTTTAATTTTAGAATTTCTGCATGCCATCTTACGAGATTTAAACTGATGATCTATAATCCGGAAAAATCGATAATCCGGAATCGCCGAAGTCCCGACGAGTCCGGATTAACGACTTTTGACTGTATATAAAATAACATTAAATGTGTAGAAAACTATATTTCTTATAAGCCAGGTTCATTATAATAATAGGTTTTGACATTAAGATTCATTCATTGTATCTATGAGTTTCTTATAAGCCAGATTCATTATTGTGGGTTTATCGTATCTGATGGCGTATAAGACGCACCCTCTTTTTGTACACATTTTTGAAAGATAAAACTTTATCACTGATCATTATAATGAATTTACAGTATTTTAATTATAAAGTAATACAAGTACAAAGTAATACTCTCTGCAAATACCCAAACTAGCTGGGAAAGAACACCTTTCAAGTTCCCTGAACCAGTACAGTGGTTAGGTCACTGGCTGCTGTGCCAGAGGGCCCGGGTTTGAATCCCAGAGATGGCATGGATCTTGGTAAATGTATAGTGGCAGTGTGGCATGGCGGCACTCTAAATATGCGATGAGCCGAAAGTCCTCTCGTGCAGTTTAGTGGAAGGGTAGAAGGGTGGGAGACTCTCGGACCACCCTTTGGGTGCTCTCCATCAAAATTGGGGGTGGAACTGAGCTAAATCGCTCTGTCACCTGTAAGGGGCTCTAGGCTGTTGCCAACGACAGGTGTATTTTGCACTCCTTGCCACAAAGAATTTCAGAGGGCTTGGGTTGATGTTACTGTTAGACAAGTGAGCTTATGCAACAATAACATACCTTTTACTCTTCTTCATCAAAACCCAGACACTCATCTCCAGAGCTTAATGAAGAGTCACTTGAAATCTTTTCTAAATCAAATGTCTGAGTTCTCATACAACAAAGAAGATTCCATCCAGCTGTTCCTCTTCTCTTTCATAAATCCCTTAAAAAGTTTATTAATGCAGACGTCTAAAGTTTGAAGCTGACTAGTTAGGCCTCTTGGAACTTAAAGCTAACTGAGTTTTCAATGCTTTGAGTTTATTTTTAACATCTTCTGTTCTGTAAGAACGAAACTGATCCCATTACTAGTAGGGCAAGTTTCTTCAACAGTCTGCCAGGGCACCTCAACCAAATTTTATCTGTCCTTAAGATGCAGTACTGATGTACATATAAGATGCACCCTGTTTTTTAAACCTGTTTTCAAAGAAAAAAAGTGTGTCTTGCACCCCAGCAAATAAAGAAATTTTTTTAATAAATATAGGTAAAATATCTCTTACCTGTTGTTACTGGGTTGGGTTTTTATGATACAAAAACTGAAAAAAGGTCATTCTGTGTTGAACACATGAATAATTATTTAACTAGTAACAAAAGTTGGACATCAGTCAAACTACAAGTCAGACTGTGAAAACTTCAGAAACTCTACTAAAACCAGATAAAATATTCTCGCACAATCACAAAAACTGTGGTAAATACAATGTAAAAGAAAAAGGATTAAAACACTAGATCTTATGTATGATACTTTTAGTAACAGATGGAGGTCTTAAAATGTGAAGTAAATAGATGATGAAAATAAATAGAATAAAATCACCACTTAATTTTATATTTTAAATATATAAAACAAAATAACGAATTGTATGTCAAATATTAATAAAAATATATTAAATATATGTAATACATTAAAATATAATAAATATACAATACATTAAGTCAAATGGTAAAATCCTCTCTCTGAAAAAGTGAAGTATTTTAAAATTGGGATTTTTCCCATTTAAAGTCAATGAAGTTAAATTTGAAGTATTAAAGTAACTCTTGTGAACATAGTTAAAACTTGGACACTCGATTAAAATATTTTGTATGGATACTAGGACATTACAACTTCTTTTATTCACAGAATAACCTTACGTATAAAATATAAAGCAGCAAGTCCATCATTTACACCCTATAGAATCTGTTCAAATTCCTGAATTTATCAGCTTCATCAGAATTGTCTGTGCTCCTAATTAATTAATTTAAAAATGTTTTACTTTCTAACCTTACTTTAAGTGTAGATAGGCTTTACTTAGATCTATCTGACAGTAGTAAGGAAATGAAAAATAAACATCTTTATTTTAAATCTTCTTATGTTACAATTTGCTTCATAGTTAAGTCTGTATTGGCGTGAAGCAATTTATTGTAACTTTTGTTTCTCAATACAGTCTCATAATCACTTAAAGCACCAAACCTAAGAATATTTTAAATGGATCTGTATTGTTTTCAATAATCGTTACTCCTGAGTTGTCTTGATTTATTTACTCAATTAACTGTTCAGTGCTATCAGAATACCAAATTAAAATTTGTGCTAAAAATTTTTTATCTATTTAATTGCTTTTAATTTCAAGTAATAAATGTTCAGTTTCAAGATAAATGGTAATTGTACTTGTGATAATAAGAGTTTATAATTCATATGTTGATTCTTTCTACTAATACTACTAATATGCTTTACAGAGAACTGTATTAAAATTTGTAATTGCTTATCAATAATTTTTTGTTTTAGGTAGAGGTGGTCCTCCTGATAGAAGAGAGCTACCTTTACCAGCTGCTACTGAAAGGCCTGGTGGTCCTTCTGATAGAAGAGAGCTAACCTCACCATCTACTACTGAAAGGCCTGGTAGAGATCAAAGGCCATTGCATGAGGAAACAATAAGGCGTCATCCTTTACCTGAACAACAAATTCCTGAAGTTCAGCCTGTACGGGAAAGAACAGCAGAAGCAAGGAAACCTCGAACTGTGCATCCTGAAGAGCTGGGTATTGAATTGAAGCAAAAGTTAGCATTGTCAACACTGGCAGCAGGATTTCCACGTAATCCTGGTCAAGGACAGCTAGGACGACGTATTAGATTGATTTCTAACTGTTTCCCAATTGAGATACCTAGTGGAAATATTTACCATTATGATGTAGACATAGTGAATAAGAGAAATGTTTCTGAAACTGGCACTGGAGCTGCAGCTCCTCTTAGTGTTGATAAGAAATATCGTTGTTTAAGTACCAAGCGTAACAGGGAAATTGTTAACTTGATGTTGCAGAATGATCGAAATTTCCAAGGTTTGTTTGCTGCATATGATGGTAGAAAAAATTTGTATACTAGGCATGCTTTAAAAATGGAGACCATTCCTTTAAAATGTGAAATAGTCATACCAGATGAAAATCCTGGTGACCCAGCTGACCCTCGAGGTGCAAGGGTTAGCACATTCATTGTTTGTATTCAGCCTGTCAGAAAGAAAGATTCAGATTCTTGTGCCATTAATTTAGATTCCCTGCATGCTCTTTTTGCTGGTAAAGTAACTTCTATAAATCAAGAAGCTGTTATGGCTCTAGAAACTGTTCTTCGCCATGGTCCTTGTTTGAGGTATACTCCCGTTAACCGAAGTTTCTTTTATAAACCACACCCTGATGAAGTACATCCTCTTGGTGGGGGAAGAGAAATTTGGTTTGGTTATCATCAGAGTTTACGCTTAGGCCAGTGGAGACCAATGGTAAATATTGATATAACAGCTACTACATTTTATGAAAAGAAGCCTATTCTTAATTATATTGCTGACTTTATGAAAACTTCTGTGGATGGTTTACGTCATATACCTTCTCTGAGAGATTCAGATATTAAAAGGATCAGCAAGGAATTGAAAAGTATGCAAATTGAAGTGAACCATTTAAGAAATTATAGAAGAAAATATAGAATTTTGAGACTGACTAGAGAAAGTGCTAACCGTTTATCATTTCCACTTGATATTAATGGAAGAAGAACTGAAATGACAGTGGCTGAATATTTTCGTGGCCACCATAATAGAAGATTAGAGTTTGGTCATCTGCCATGTTTGCAAGTAAATCCTGAGACTAAGAAAGTATATCTACCACTTGAAGTTTGTGATATGGTAGAAGGTCAACACTGTAAAAAGAAACTGGAAGATAGACAGAATGCAGAAATGATAAAATTCACTGCCCGTGCTCCTCGAGACAGATTTAATGAAATCAGAGATATCATCAGAACAGCTAATTATAATCAGGATGACCATTTAAGAGAATTTGGGATGAGGGTGTACTGCGAGCCACTAAAGCTTGAAGGCAGAGTTCTCGAAGCACCAAATGTACAATACAAAACAATGAAAAGTCCTGATCTTATTAGAATAAAACCCAAAGATGGGTCCTGGGATATGAGGGATAAGGAATTTTTTCGCCCTGCAGTTATACAAAATTGGGTATTGTTAAGTTTCGCTCATCCTAGATTTTGTTCTCTTGAGATGCTTAATACGTTTGCTCAAATGTTATGCAGAGTTGCTCATGAGACTGGTATAACTATGAGTCGGCCAGAACTTATTGATATTAAAAATCCTGCATCTGTGAGAGTTGAAACTGTGCTGAAAGATGTAAAAAGGAAATTTAATGCTGAATTAGCAGTAGTAGTTGTTCCTGCTGCACATAAGACAATTTATGGAGATGTTAAACAAGCTGCAGAAACTGAAATTGGGCTTTGCACACAATGCATAAAAGATGAAAATGTAAAAAGGTGCAAACCTGCCTTAGTAAGTAATTTGTGCCAAAAAATTAATGCAAAAATGGGTGGCATCAATAATGCTTTAACACCTGGTGAGAAACCAAAAATCATGAGTAGGCCGGTCATCATTATTGGGGCTGATGTAACACATCCTGGTCCATCACAGGATGTCAAGCCATCACTTGCTGCTGCCGTTGGCAGTCTGGATGCCCATCCCTCTCGATATGCAGTTACTTGTAAAGCTCAGACAAATGTAGATGAGAAAAAGCAGGCGATGGAAATCATTCTTGATCTAAAGGATATGGTTATTGATTTGTTGAAAGCATTTTACCGAAATACTAAGGGAAAGAAACCTGAAAAAATTATTTTTTATCGTGATGGTGTTAGTGAAGGTCAGTTTGAGAAGGTCAGAGAACATGAGGTCAGATGTATTAGAGAAGCCTGTAGATCTTTAGGTGAAGATTATCAGCCTGGAATAACATTCATTGTTGTTCAAAAACGACATCATACTAGGTTCATGCCTGAAGATAGTAGAGAAGGAACAGGAAGAATGCGAAACATGCCACCTGGCACAACTGTCGACACAACTGTAACTCATCCTCTCAACTTTGATTTCTTTCTGTGCAGTCATTTTGGGCTACAAGGTATGAAATCGTTTTACATATTTTTTAAGAATTTCATATCAGTTTTCATTGTGAAGAATATATTACTCTGTGGCTAATTTTTCATGATTTCAATAATAAAAATATGAAATTAATAGTATTAACACGTGTTTTTACATGTAGAATGCTTTTAAATATAATTCACTAATTTTGTTTCTCCTTATATATGATAAATCAATCAGGTTGGCTCAAAAGAGTTCATTTCAGTGAAAAATTAAATAATTAATATCTAGTAATTAATATGATAATGGCAAAATATTTATTGGGTTCTGTATTGAGAATTGCTTTGAGTGTTAAAAATCTTTTGACATGGCTACAATGTTAACTGAGTAAAGAGCATTTATTAAAAATGTGTTTAAAATTTGAAATTAACTGGATATCTGTAAAATATATTTTTCTGTTTTGTTACAAAATTGTAAATTAAAACTTTTTGTTAGATTTTTTATAATTTTAGTGTACAACATAGGTAATGCATTTGGTATACTTATACTATTATACATATTAACATAATCAATCACCTTGGTGCAGATTGGTGATTTTTTACAGTTCAAAAAGAATGACGAATTATAACTGCAGAATTATTTATCATCAATATATATATTTTCAGTAGGTCTGTATCCTGAAAATTAATCAACAAAAAAAATTTGTTTTTCCTAAACTAGTGAAAATTTTGTGCTGTATTGCTTTGAAAATAGTTTCAAAGTAATTATATTAATTATATCCTTTAGCCATTTTGTGTTACAATGCTTCATTTCTGCAGAAATTTTGTCACAATTTATTCCTCTTCAGGCAGATCACATAATTGCATTTCTAAAATTGAGTTTATGATGGAAAGTTTCACGATTTGCAGAAAAAGCAAATGGAATGCAGCAAAAAGAATGCATATACAAAAATGGAGATGTTTGTAAACTGAAGAAAAGTTAGTTATCCATATGGTTGAACATGTTTACCATATTCTGAATAGTTGGTGACTTCTACTAAGGGAATTGTACTAATACATAATTACCAGACTTGGTAAAATGTTAAAAATATACTTCATGCTATAAAAATTTGCATACCAAGAAAGAGTTGTCAAAATGAAACAGATTTTATATATGTGAGTGCAAGGTTGATATATGTAGATGATCACAAAATCAAAGCAAAAAAGTGATTTATTACAAGAAAAACAACAAATGAATGAAGCTTCCTGATGGGCCACCTCTAGCACAAAAACACGATGTGCGTATCTCATTGTGTATTATTGCTACATGTACATTGCTACGTAATGGGACATTCAAGAGAAGCATAATATGCATATCACATTGTGTATTCACTGATGTCTTATATTATCTCATTTCACAATTGCTGTAAGCGCACCTCTAGTTTACCAAACTTTTATGCTGTCCAACATGTCATCTTGAGTGTTCCGAGATATGCTCATCTAGAAATAAATATGGGGATTAGGCAGACCAGGAAAGTATGGTAATGTGGCCAAGCATTGTCCTGTTGAAAAATTGAAGCCTATATTAAAAGTGTTGCCCATGTACAGATAGTGTATAATGATTCAATTGGCATTATATGTGCATGTCGGATGACATGATGGTCCTCTCAGCTTTTCATATGCTGAAGGCATCCTGAACCTGGCTGCTGCATTGCCTGACAGATAACTATTTTATTCATCACTAGATGGTACATTATTATACAAAATGCACACAAATATGTATGTGTAAGCCGTTATTTAATTTGCAAATAATTTTTTCATACTTTGCATTTCTGGAGAACCCCCACTTTTCCCCCTGTTTTTTTATACATTGATCTTGTTAGCTTTTCATCTCTTGAAATGTTTCTCAAATGTACTATTGCTCACTCCACCCAAGCTTCTTACTGAAGAATTTCCATTTCAACAAGAACGGAATTCCCCAGAGATGTGTTTGTAGTGCTTCCAGTCACTCATTGGTCTAGGGAGGATAACTTTGTCTGTCATGTTCTATGTACAGAACCTAAGGAAAGAAAGTAGAAAATAACACTTCACCTGATTGGCTGAAATTCCAAAGAGAAATGTAAAACATTACACCGTATATGATTCATCTAGTCTCTTACTATCGCTTCTGTCTCATTCTTTGTCACATGGTTAGGTGTATGCATCAGGGGTTAACATATATATTACTCTTAAAAGATGGCTGAAATGTGCAAAGTTATACTTTCAAAAAGAGACCATCCTAAGTTAATTGTTGATGTTTATCTGAATGACAAAAGCAGAGGTGATTTGTTTTATTGGTAGTGCGAGAGGCCCAAAATTCTGTGGAAGGTATGCAGACACTGTGCTTGTAGGTGGACAACATCACAATCAGAATGAAGAGGAACGTAATCATGGATATGATCCCTTAAAAAAGAACTGCTGTAGCAATAAGTAGTTTTACATGAAAAACTCATCAAATTTGTGAACACGCCAGCACAAATTATTCAAGAGGAAAACAATTCTGTCCCTGACCAGAGTCGTCCTGCTATGCTTAGTTGCCATATTGTGCATCGAAGGTTCCAAACCTTTTCTGAACCACTGCCCGCCCCCTTAACAAAAAAGAAAATTCTGATGCCACCTCTTCCATAATAGTTAATTTTATCAAACATTAAAATATTCATAATATCTATTTTATCTATCTCTCTGTTAAGAATCACAAAATAAAATTAAGTAAAATGACCATTAAATGTTAGTAAAAACTGTTTGTTCAAAATTTTAAAATAAATGCAAAATAAGAAATAAAAATTTAATGAGATGGTTAGACTTGTGAAGTTTTACGATTTGTTAATGTCCGGTTCCAATTTTGCTGGCATCACTCACAATTTGCCATTTTCAGTGATGTGCAGTCTGTTTCTTTTCTTAGCCAATAAATTATCACACTGAACCCATGCTCAGCCAATTATGATGAAAGAAAAGCAATTAAAATTTTCTATGCTCTTGCCCACCATCCATGTTAGAGAGCTAGTAAACACACTGAATGCACAGTGAAATTTTAATTATCCCTTTGAGGGCGGGATGGCCATTATAGTGGCCACAAAATAACCAGTTTGAAAGGATGGGGTTGTCCACTTTAGTGGCCATGTTTTTTTCCTCATTTTCCAGACTGAAAGTGTGGAATGAAATGTCAAATTTGACATTCCTGGGGATTTAACCACTTATCTCTTTCAAAGGTCTTTCTGTTAAGGATCTGGTTTCCCCAATTTTTCCCTTTTTATTCTTGCAGTTACAGAATTCAGGATAATTGCATTTGTAAATCGTAAACAGACCTTTTAGAATATTGCATATTTTCGTAAATTAAATAGGAATTATTTTGATATTTTGTAGCAATATGCCAAAGAAGAAATATGAAAACTTCTTCAAGCACTTTTTCAAGGTTTTAGAAAAAATCTTATGAAGTTAACTAAACATTCAGTTAGCTCTGCTCGAGTCTCAGATACTATTTCATTGATAGGCCACTGGCCCATTCAAAACAAAGCTCCACGAATATGTGCTGCTTGTCAGAGAAGTGGAATAAGAAAGTGCGAAAAAAATGTAACTTGCTTCAAAAATTTCCATGAAAGCAAATGAAAATATTTCTTTTGAACATGCTTATAAAAAATTGAGGGTTATATCATTCTAAAACTAATTTTTTCATTCCGTGATAAATTGCTCAATATCTCACTTTTTTTATTTTCCTGTTTTTTAAAAAAATCAATGGGTCTGTTATATATGTTGACTCGTCAAACATAGATAAATTACTGTTTATTTATATATGGTTGGCGGCAAGTGACGAGAATGTGACACAGCACAAATACTGTGCACTCGCCTAGCTAGTCAGGTTAGAGGCACTGCCATCTAACGGCAAGCAAAGTAATTAATATCTAACATGCCCTTTTTTATTTATAGAACAAGACTAGTGCATGTTACTAACTTAGTACAATAATTATTTTACCTCATTACTTGCTTAGCAGTTAACTTAAGAAAACATTTTGACATTTAATTACAGTCAAAAGTCGTTAATTCGGACTCGTCGGGACTTCGGCGATTCCAGATTATCGATTTTTCCGTATTATAGATTATCAGTTTAAATCTCGTAAGATGGCATGCAGAAATTCTAAAACTAAAAATATGAAACCGTAATTTATGAAATAAAGAACAATTATGATCTAAAGGGTATCAAAATTAAAAAAAAAAAAAAAAAAAAAAAAAAAAAAAAAAAGCTTAATATTTATTTGTTTACTTTATTAAACATTTCTTTCAATGTAAGTTGTTTAAGTTGCTTCGTTTAATGTGATAATACTTTCTCTTTAATTCTATAAACAGACATAATTTCTTGTTCAGTTACAAAGTTCCACTGTTCAAGTCCCGTAATTGCTGTGCCGAGAATACCGACTAACTTGTCAATCGAAATTTTTTCGTTTTCACTAACCTCTCTGTCACCTTCTTCATGTCTTTATCCATTTTTTGCAGCAATTCCACTTTTTGTTTGATGGACATCGAAACGTACTTTCGTTTTGTAGATCCTTTGGGAGCTCCAGCATCGGAAATTCTATTTGACATAATCGAAAGTTCAAGTTTACTTTTATAAAATTGCTTTTACACTCTGAAAAAAGTAATAAGCCGGATCCAGTTCGAAGATTAAGGAACAATGCAATCATCAACATTAACTGAAATAGATAATTAGATAATTTTAGCTCATACCGTCCATTATACATTAAATGCGCACGCGAAAACGTATTCTGCACTTGCGCACACGCATATGTGCAGTCGTAAAGGTCTTACGCACGTAAACGCCTATGCGCATGTGTCAACGCAGCGCATGCGCAGAAAGTTTTTAGCTTTGAGGTCCGGATTATGGGTGTCCGAATTAACGACTTTTGACTGTATTACATAACAGTTGACTTTAGAGAACATAGCATCATAGATCATCCATCATAGATCATAGAACATACCTGGATAACCATAAAAATTACATACCTGTATGACTCACTTAAATCTTTAAAATTGGGACTTATTAATTATACTGATATTTTAGAGTTCTGAGCAGTTCATTAAATTCCATAATTAGTCTATAAATAAAGTATAATTTTTTGGCATCAATAAGTTCTTTCTAATTGTCTCTATATCAAAGAGGTTTTATTCTATTTCTACTTGATCGTCTTAACATTGGTTCAGTTGACACATTTCCTGGAATTTGAGAATGTTTAAGAGAATCACTTTCCTGTTCCTTAGGTGGATC